AAACTATATATATTTTTTGGTTTTATTTTTTTGAGGCAAATAGTTTTTTACACCAGAAAATGAAGAGCAAAGGAAGATGTTACTGCTGTATAGACAGTTACAGCTGCTGGTTTCTTTAGGTACTGTTGCTAGTAACAAGTCGGGTACTTGTCCGATTTCTTCTGGATTCTTAAATGAAGGGGTTATAACTGATTGTTGAAACTTGTTTTTTTTTTTAGGAATGGTAGAAGACTAGGAAGCAGGCTACAAAGTTAAATGTATTAGTTCTTTGGTCTATTACATAATGAAAGGTCAGCCAAATGTTTGCCGTAGTTATGGGTTCTAGTCTTCAGTACAGTGTGTCAGTCATATATCAAGAATGTTCGTGGAAAAAAAAAAACCAAGAAAAAAAAATGCAATTACAGAAGAATTTTTGATCAGAATTCTTTTTTTGCAAATTAACTTGTTATTTTTTCGTAGTTCAACAACAAAGACAGCAGCAGCAACAACAATAGCAAAGAAAAAAAATAAAAGCAAATAATTTTATTAGTTCTCTATAGTGTTATTGCTGTTGTTAACACCAACTTTTTTTTTTTTACACTCTATTAGTATCAACTAAGGAATTACTGGATGATACGTGAGATGCTTTATCTGTAACAGTTTGGTTGACCGGATCAACGAAATCAAACTTTGTGCGATAAAATATTTTTTAATTATCACAATATTATAGTTGCTTGCTGAATTACTGCTTTTAGAAAGTCATATTTCTGATGATAGGAGAAAGAAAAAAAATGAAAAAAACTGGGCATCGATAACTGATGCTGTTGCAGACAACAATTTTTATTGTGTTAAAAAAGCACTTTTTTTTTTCTAATTAACTGTTTGGATATGGTTTAGTCTAGACGATTGTTGATTTATGTATGACAGATGCACCCGAAGATACTGTGTGATTTTTGGTCAAATTTTTATCTACTGGATTCTGAGTCAGATAACAGGCAATACATTGTATGTAGTGTGAATAAATTGGATGATTCAATTGTTGCTTGTTGTTTCACATTCTTCAAATAACTACCAAATTTGTAGCGTTCAAAGAAATTTTACTGTTTTTTTTTTCCTTGTTTCTGCTCCTGCTGTTGCTACTGTTGCTACTGTTAAGGCCACTGATCAGAAGGCAGTATTTTTTTTTTCTTCTATTCTCTTTAAATCAGAATCAGCATGTCAGCATCAGCATTACGAGGGATCTTTTTGAACATTTGAACATGATGTCACTGTTGAAGTGTTAAATGAGAAGAAGGAAAAAAAAAATTTATTCAAATGATGATTGGTTTATTAATGCAATTACATTCTTAAAACGGCCAAAAAAAGCTGTAAGATGAAGTAAAAGGCAGCGACAAAATTAAAGATAAAGAAGTCAAGAAGGGGAAAAAAAAAAAAAACTGAAACTGAGTGATGGCAACGATGAAGCGAAAAGGTTTGCATTTAACTGTTTACTATATCAGCGGTGACAATTGCTGTAACTGTTTTAAAAAAAAATTTTTTTGCACTGTTGTTTTGTTCTGTTTTCTATTTTTTTTTTTTTTTTTTT